TAAAAGTAAGGAAAGGAGGTCGGATGAGATGGTGTTGAAGGGCTTGTTTAGAGACACCGTCCAACCTAAATTAGATGTCTTGGACTTTTGATATCATACGATAGTAGGGCCCACTATCTAGCCAATGCCCAAGTTGTGGCGCAAAATGTCGCTTCGGAAGCGAGAAATTCGCTAGGCAAGAACGAAGAGGCATAAGGGTCCCTAGGCGGCACCGCCCCCTCCAGGAGGCCCGCCCATTCCGTTACCGTCGTTCGGAGAACCCGTTCCCAAACGGGAATTATAGGGGTTTTCGCTTCTCGACTTCACATGGAAATGAGAAGGCCCCCGAACGACTTAAAAGTCATGGAAGTCGAGAATCTGGGTGGACGGTTCCTTGAAGGCAGTGGCTCGGGTTTGCAATTACGAAATTTTCTTGCAATTATGAGCTTTCCATTTCTCCTGGGCCTTCTGGGTGCGCTGAGTTCAGGGCTGTGCTTGAAATTTGAAAAAGTGCTTTTCATGGCGTTTTCCAGCCTTGGAGAGCACTGAAGGGGTAGCGAGCGGTTTCCGCCAAAAACTGCGACTGTTCGCAGGAGACTGTAACTCCACTCAATTTGACGGCAATTGGCTGATCGGCTCAGGCAGCCAATCGCGACTTAGTGGCGATCACTCGCCCATCCCCTCCAGGCATCTCTACGACCTGAAAACACCATGGAAAGCACTTTTTTGACTTTTCAAGCACAGGCCTGGACTCGGAGGCCAAGAGATGGAAAACTGCAATGGGAATTTTTCCGAGCCACTCGTTTTGACAGGTGCCAAATTCGGCTCAAATTCCTTAAGAATGAGGATTTCCCTCTAGAAAAATGAAAATCTCCTTAGAAGGAGCAAAAGAATCTACATGCAATGACGAAATTTTTTGAGATTCCATTTCGGTCAATACTGAGAGATGTTTCAGACATGTGGCCTTCAGTTTATGCAGTGGTGCATCAAACAAATCAAGATGGCTTAAATAGATAAAAAAAAAGTTTTACAGTATCATTTTTGATGAAGCGGGCTTGCTAGAAAAGAAGAGTATACCGTTACACATTTAGAAGAGAAGAATAAAAACTTCCAACTAAGAGGCCTTGGAATGTGTTGATTTTCAGCAAGATCTTAGCCTCTCAAAAAGATTATTCGAGAACTGAGTCATTCGGCTTAGCCAAAAAAGAAAATTACGCACAACTTCCAATGTTAAATTGGTACAGCCCATGTTCTAAAGAATATGAAGCAGTAGTTAGACGATTTATTTTAATTCAAATTGATTGATATGGGGAGCATTATTTGAAAAAGTGCAGAACAGGTTAGCATGAACGGCTCAGGCCTGAATCGCAATTCCAAACGATTTCGAACACTCCCACGGGAGCAGCGCAGCGTGAAAGAATCGTCTCAATTGGATGGAATAAGCAAATACTGAAAATGGCGATCGCTTTGATCGTTGAAAAGCAAGCAAAAGCGGCTATCGATATGGGGATTGCTAGGAGGGGCCCAGAGGACCAAGAAATAGAGGGTGTGAAATTTCTGACCGTGGTAGAAAGAGCCTACAGGGTGGTCCGCATGAAATGTCACGCAGATGTATGCCCATAACTCTGCATAAAACAATTCAAATTTGAAACGGTCAACTTTATCTGATAACTACAAATATTTTGGAGAGGTCCTATCATGATCGAAGATGTCAGCTTCTGAATTTACATTCATTGGATCGCCTTCGTGAATTTTCTAGAAAGCACGCTGTCATTTTTGGTATGTTGCCCAGAAACCTTCTCAGGCAAGTCTGAAGATTGTCAGATAAATCCGGACGTATATGATGGGAAGCCCTACATGTAGGATTCTGGGGAAGGTATGAAATAAAAATAATGTAAAGATTCGCCTGGAGACGGCTTTTTGAGGGTCAAAGCAACCTTACAAATATTTGTAGTCGCTTATACATATACTAATGTTTATATAGCGTTGTAAAAGTAAGTGAAAAAATTTTTTTAACCTTAACTGTAAAACCTTACGCAATAAGTAAATATTATGAATCGTGATTATAAACGTTAAACTGTGAGCGAAAGAATATAATTGTGAGTAGGATTCATAATTACAATCTTCTGAGTGAAATACACAGCCTAATCTGTACAGAAAATCTCATCTTCTTGTAGTTTTACGAAAACTATGTACCTGAACTCAAGTTTAAAAAACTGCTTCTGAAGGGCAGACTTACTCTACAAGACAGAGTAACTTCATTAAATTCATAGCCCCAAAGATCATGTAAACGTTCGTTCACTGAAGTACAACCCTATAAACATGTAATCGCTTTAACTGATGCTGTCCTGAGGATGTGAGAACTGGAATGACTGGCTCAGTTTCGGCTAGGGCGACTATGATCCAATTAACTTCTTTGTACTGTCAATTCAACGATAACTTCATCAGCCATCAGTCACATATCATTCGTACAAAGTTTTTCTTATAACAAAAACACTTGCAGAGCCCAGTGCTGTAGATTCTGCTTGGATTGGAAGTCAAATAGCTGGTTTCTGCACAGATCTCCTTTATGAAGGTATAACAGAAAGAGACCAATGTGCAGGAAATTTTTCTTTTTGCAGATCAAATCCGGAGAAAAGAAATTCCAGTCCAAGGAATGAGTAAAACCCTGTTTTGTAAACCCTTATATGGACTCAATTCATCTAAATCCAGTAGCCAGCTCTAGAATTTCGGCAGTGGAAGGAAGGAACGGAACAGTGAAATTTTCTCAATGGCTTAAAACTTAAAGCTCCACTTTTTCACATCTATGGTAATCGATGTTACCATAATTACCACTTTCTATTAGGTTGCCCGGAATGTCCGTTTTGACTTTCAACCGCATTAAGTTATAAAGTTCTCATTTCTAGATAGACTGCAAAGCAGCATTCTACAGAGCAAAGCAAGCTCTACAAGATGGTATTCTCGCTTTAGCAACAGCTCTAATACGGCTCAAGTTCTAAGCCAAAAACTAAAAAGACCCAAATGCCCGAAAAATCGAGAAAAATCGTAACTCAGTTCATAAAAATCTTACAAAAATTCTAACTCGCTCTTATAAACACTATACACGAAAGGCATCTAAAGACGCCGTTGCCGTATTTTTTCCTCTGTTAGAAGTCAAGAAAACGGAAGTTTTTGTGCATTTGCTAAAGTGATGCTGTGCCATCCTCACATAAGTAGTTGTATTCTACAGACCTGTAGAAGTACAAACCTAAATTTTCAGCTCTCTGCAAGCTTTAATTCTCGAGAAACGTGAATTTTAGCTTGGACCACCTGACTAGGGAAAACTATATCCGATATTACTCGAGAACTAAAGCTTGTAGAGAGCTGAAAATTTGCGTTTGTACTTCTACAGGTTTGTAGTATACAACTACTTATGTGGGAAATGCAAAGCATCACTTTGGCAAATGCGCGAGAATTTCCATTTTCTTGATTTCTAACAGAGGAAAAAATAGGGCAACGGCGTATATAGACGCCTTTTGTGGATAGTGTTTATGAGAACGAGCTAGAATTTTTGTAAGATTTTTATGAGCTGAGTTACGATTTTTCTCGATTTTTCGGGCAGTTGGGTCTTTTTAGTTTTTGGTTTAAAACTCGAGCTGTGTTAGAGCTGTTGCTAAACTCGAGATTACCATCTTGTAGAGCTTGCTTTGCTCTATCGAATGGTACTTTGCGGTCTATCTAGAAATGAGGACTTTATATTTTAATGCGGTTGAAAGTCAAAACGGACATTAATTTCCGTACAACCTAATATTTGTTTTGTAACATTTTTTTGTTTATTCAGGATAGGAGAAATGAAAATGAAAAAGGACAACGAAAGCTAGAAGGAATAGTGTCAGCAAGAAGAAAAAATCTAACTGCTTATGGAACACTTACTCGAGAATCTCAGAAGGAAATGAAAGAGAATCATAAAGAAACGTTGGCATAAATCTTCCTTTCTTCTTCAGGCAAACTGATATATCTATTAGTTTCCTTTCCGTTCGTATAGATGTAAGTCCTATCTTGAAACTAATTGATTTCTCTATCAGTTTCTAGTCCAAAGAAGTGTGACCAATTTGTAATTTCAAAGTATTCTGATTGTACGAAAAAGAAAGCAAAAAAAAGGTTCAAAAATTATTGACAAATTATCCTGGAACAAGTTTCATTTCGGAAATTGCCATCTTGGCTATTGTTTGTAACAAAGAAAAGCGAAAAAACTCTAAAATTATAGTTCGTCGTTAGAAATGGTAGTCGATTTTACGCTACGCTAGATTTGTGTGAGAATAGGTAGTATAATACAATATCATTTATACAATTATGCACTTCATACTAATAGAGAATTGCAAAGGAATGCTGATTTAAATTGTTCGCCCTTTTGAACTTAAGTACAAATTTTCTTAAAAGGTGAACACAAATTCCTTCATGGTGAACGTTTCCAAATTCAATCAAACGCTTACATTTGGAATCAATCTGGGGCCAAAATCATAGTAAAGTGGGGCATTTTCCCTAACATAAGTTGATTAGCAAAACCAACTTATTAGTCTGCAAATTATTAAACTCTCATTTTGTACCCTTCATATGGTCTTTGAATTTGTATTAATTTTTCTCAGGAAAATGTGCAAAGTTTCACGAAAAAAAAAAACACGAACAAGTACCCAAACATATCCTTCTTGAAGGCAGTGTCCAAAAAATTTTGGCTATCTGGCTTTCTTATATGGAAACTGATTGAGAGCTGTGGAATGTGCCATAGCCCAAGAAGCAGTTCATGCAATATATTTGTGACTGAGAAATTCAGCTGTACACTCTCGCCCACACCGTACTTATTACCGTAGTCGAAGTAACTGGGCTAGAGTTTAGCGCTGGATTTCTCGGCCATGAATGAAGTTTATGAACTGCTGCTTGGATAATGACTTCTTAGGGGCTTACAAATAGTTTTCACAGAAGAGGATAGGATAACAGCTTTTTCCCGATACTAGTTTTAAGAAAAAAAATCGAATATCCGCCCACCTTTCCGGGACAACAAGCATTGGTGGTGGTGAGTGCGGCAGTGGCGGTGGCCTCAATGAGACGACGCTGTCCAGCGATACACTGCTCTTCATGTGTTAATTTTCTCGAAGGGGGTTAGACCTGGAAGCAGTAAGGGCTGAAAGCGAGTTAGTTGGGGTGGTTAGAGAGCCACAAATTAGCGAATTAGAGTGCAGGACGCAGTGAAGGACGAAGTACGCACTGACGAATGAGTCATTAAGTCAGGACGAAAACACCTGAACTGCACGAATTGCGAGCGCAAACCTTGTTAGGCGATTGACTCATACCGTTATCAAAGAGAATTTAGCAGAACTGTTGAAAAACTACAGCGGAGAAATGGATTGCTTGAAAAAGTCAGCTCTGCCTAGGCAGTTTCTTGATTAGGAGAGAGAAAAGGACCTCAAATGTGAACATTAATTTCATACTAGTAATGAATGATTTTATAATAACAATGTGGAGTGGTGATTTCTTTACCACATTGACTCCAAATTGTCATTTACGGAAAGGGATGATGAACTGAAAGTAAAGCTTTCAAGATTACAAAAATGTAGAAAAAAAAACAAAAAAAATAAAACAAAATGTTAGTCTTCTTTCCAAGAAACCGCTACTCATGAAATCCATTTTTTCACTCTAGTTTTTTCAAAAAAATTCACTAGTACGATTTTACTAATGCAAAACACTTAAAGAACGAATAATGCTAATTTTTCTGATATATTTATTTTCAAAATGCCGACCATTTCGGAACAAAACCCTATTCGAACCTTTTTGCCGAGATGATAGCAATGAACCCTCACATAAGACTCCTACACTTTTAATTAGTAGAGCGTGAGGAAGATAAAATGTGTTGGTAACCCAGTTACATTCATGTTATGAACAACTGGGTTCAGCACATAAAATGTTTTATAACAATTAAGCGGATCTTTACTACAGTAGGGGTAAGACCCAAGTCAGAATGAAATTCACCACAAAGACTCAGGAATTATGTATACTTGAAAAGAAATAAAAGAGATTTCGTAGAAAGTCTCAACACCAAAAAGATAACTTTTTGAATTGTTTTAGAGAAATTTAAATTTCGATTGGTGATAAACTGATGAAGTAGAAAAAGTGCTGCTAATATAAAGAATCTCAACAATACGTGAAGATAATTATTATTTTGTCTCCTTAATGAAATTCTATTGTAACTAATATTGAAGAAAAAATGGAAAAGGTTTTAAATAAAAAATTAACACTACGAGGAAAATCTCACATTCTGTTTTCAAAATATAAATTCATAATTGACTAGCTAATGTTGAAGAGAATGAAGACCCATGATTAGAGATCTGAAAATTTTAAAGTGCACGAGAAACGTTTGGCGGTGAATGAATCACAAGCTGATTGGAAAAAAACATACGTTCATGGAAGCACCTCAACAAGATATAGTGAGAAAACGTTTTTTTATCGCATGAAAATTCTTGGAATTCTTGCTTGGGCACACCCATGGATTAAGCGGACTGATTCCTGATAACACTTGGGCTACGTAGAGTCGCAAAAAACAAGGAATTTCAAACTCAAGACGAATTCTTTATAAATTTTCGAGTGTTGGAACGCAGGTGTTCAAAAGAAATCTCAATAGAAAATTTTTTGACGTATAATGAGCTGGATCATAAGACTTCATCACAATGAAAAACAAATTCTTTGAAAAATGTCTCTATCTTACCCTTTGAAAAGTTTGGAGGCTGGAAGGCGGGGCTTCGTGACCTAATTAGGACTAGATAATGCGGAGCACGCGCGCGGACGATACGCAGACTGCCGGCGAGAGCGGCCTTAATTAGGTCACAAAGCCCACCTTCCAGCCGCCAAGTTAGTTGAATCAAAAGTTACAAGACTTCTTGTTCTTTTTACTATGTGCACCTTATAATACGAGAAATACTTTTATTTTGGACTGAAATCAAAATTCTAGAAATAAAATCTCGAAATTTATTTATTTCTTGTTTGATTTTTATGTATAGCCATTCAAAACATTCTTCTACAAAACTTTGTTAGACTTATGGTTCCAACCAAGACCGTCGTTCTCAGAAATTCACGCAAAATGCGCAAATCGCAGCATAAACCATATTTTTCTCGCAAAATATTTGATCAGCAAGTAAGCAGCAACACTTGGTTCTGATAAAAATAGACGAGGTCATTCGTTGCCTACTCATAACAGATAAAAACAGCATTACTCGCATTCCGATGCTATTCCATAGTCTGGATAACGAACTGCTGTTTGTCTCGCCGACAAGGAATTCGGCGGCTCGACAAGAAAGAAAGAATTTCCGGTGGGAAAAATGGACGCGAAAAGGGAGAAAGAAGCCTTTGGAACTGGAAAATTCTTTTAATGTACTGGTGAGCAATGATACCAATCGGTTCTGCTTCAGTGTTTGCTGTATACATAAAAAAAGTGCTCTGCAATAATTTAGGGGGCATCCGGGCATTTATTGTAATTCTAGTGTATTACTTATACCTTTTTCACCAAAACATTACTTTTTTTAGAGCAGCCTATGGAGGGTAGATTGATCTATCTAAAAAGTCAAAGCATTTTTCCTTAGCTTCTTGTGTACATTACGCATCCCTTTCGTTGAGCTTTTGAAATTTGGTGAATAAGAAAATCACAGAAAAAAGTATCACTTCATCTGCTTGAAATTGATAAACATGGCAAATATTTCTTAACCTAAGTCGCAATTTTCGAAACTCCGATTATTGCATATTTTCATAGGAAATTTTGAACTGATAAGTTTTCACAGCTAATGGGATTCGTGACATCATCATCAGAGTCCAAAAAGTTTTCAAAAATTCGAAAATTTTGCAAAGAGCAAAACAAGGGAGGGGGAGGGGCGTGCATGATTTTTTCGAAATATTCCTTAAAATTCTGTGAAATTTCGGATTGATACCAAGACCATTGAAATCAAGGATACTTCCTACACTTCGAAGAAATTTGTGCTATAAGCTTCATTTTCAGAAAAACTATTTGGCAAACTTTGAGCTAGAAAAATCTTCCCTCATCCGTTTTGCGATACAAAGTCATTAGCATTGCCAAAGCTTTTTTGTTTATGACATTTTTTATTAAGCCAAAGATCATTTTTAAATAGCTTTCAGCAGTCCAAATTCGAACCTTAGAAAGAGCATTGATTGAGTAACAATTTTGCTGTGATTCATTTTCAAAGAAATCACAGTTCTTGAGAACTTTTTTCAAGTTCGTTGTGAGAAAAAGTTCCAAGACGGATTTAATTTTTTTCTAGCAAAACAAGAAAAAAAAAGCTCATAGCTTTTAAATAGAAAGCAAACCAATTTCGATGAAAAGCAGGTATTCTGCAAGAGAGAATGTGCGCCAAGTGATATCAGCTGTCTGCCGTTAACACCATCATAATCGCCTTCATAACGTTGTGTAAGCACATCTAGGGTTCCCATTAAAGCCGACATTTTCGAAATGTTATAAGAATGAGACAAAAAAAACAGACAAACAGATGTGTTTTTACATAAGTTGCAGGAGAAAATTTCGTTGATTTGCTTATTTCTAGGTTTTACTTCCATTCAAAAATTGCTCGAAAATCTTGGTACACAAATATAATACAGGGTGTCCCAAAAGTATGTATCGAACGTTTGATCGTTAATATCTCTCTTCCTAAGAAGTCTTTTGCCTTGCTTCAAGTACCATTCTGTAGAGCTGGCTTCAACTTAGATTTGCATTAAAGAACGAATCACCCATCTCTCTTCATTACTGTAGGATTACGGTAGAAACTTGAAACATATGGTGTCAATGTGGAAAAAGCTGCAGTTCCAAAATTCTTCAAAAAATTGTGAAAACTTGTGTAATAGGGTTTTTATGGGTGCTGAGTTCAATACTCAACTATTCACAAGATTACAAAGCTTTCTAAACGGTGTAATCGCACTTTTTAGGAACATTGAAAAAATGGCCGCTACCTCTTACCTGGCATAACTCCTCAATGAAGCATCATAATAAGTTGGGAACTTTACAGTTATAATCAGCAACTCTAATTAGCCTAGTGTGAAGACTTTCAGGCTGTTTTATTTCCTTTCTAAGGCAAAATATGGCCTTTCATTGCTTAAAACCCTCTTTGAAGTTTCTACCGTAATCCTACAGTAATGAAGAGGATTGAGTGATTCGTTCTATAATGCAAATCTAAGTTGAAGCTAGCTCTACAAAATGGTACTTGAAGCAAGGCAAAAGACTTCTTGGGAAGAGAGATATTAACGATCAAACGTTCGATACATACTTTTGGGACACCCTGTATATCCCAGATTGTAATTTAGTCATCATAGAAAACCACCGAGAAAAAGTAAATTTTAGGTTGGAACATGATTCTTGCACCAAAAATTGCAAAAAAAATTTTTATTCAAAGCTCAGAGTGGCGTTCCAAACTGTACCGTATTTTTTCATTGTATAAAGAATGAGTAATTCCAAAACTTGAAAACAGGAATTCAAAAATTATAGTTTCTTGTAGAGGCGCTCTATAGCACAAACCTATTTCACTCAGATAGCGTATTATAAAATCCAAGTGGAAGTAAAATTAGAAATTCCTGAGTTCTAAATTGTATTCATTTGAAAAGATTAACCGAATCTGTAAAAATAACGGATTTTTGAAAAATGTTGATGAAAAACCTATGTTCCAACTTGATAATTCTGAACTTCACAAATTTACCACTATTCTCGCTCCTGCACTCTCATGTTTTTCCGCGTTGTTCTTAAACATTTTTTTACAAACAATAAATGTATAGAAAAGCTGAAAAAGCGATTTGCTGCAGCAAATATCTCGGAGTACAAATAAGTAGTATTGGTATAGTAGAGTCTAAAAGAATTTTGAAGGATGATGCAAAAAGAACACTTTTGAATCGAATAAAATTTGTTTAGTCTTTCAGATAAAACGCGCTACTTTAAAAGAACAATTTGTATTAATGATATTGATTTCTTAGCAATGGAGCGGGTTCGAAACGAACTGTTCTTGTTTCTTGTTATCTCTGCACCCCATTCCAGCGAAAGAAAACTGAGACTCTGTCTTCACTAAAAGTGGCGAAAGAGAATTCTCACCGGTTTTAGGGTTCTACAGTTTTGCAAACGTATAGAAG